CAGCAACATTAGCTCTAGAATGACCTGGAAAACCTAAATAGGAAAAGATATAGACCAAATAACAGGGAATTCAATCTCCATCTTGTTAATAAACTAGATATAAAATGAGGAGTTTACAAACTAATCACTGTTTTTGGGTCAGACTGGTTAATTGAATACTGAATAGCTTAGGTTGAGAACCAGTACCAGTAATGGTTGGTGGGTTCCAAAATCAGCATGCATTCAAAGGAAAACAGACCAAATTGTTCAAGTAAAAGAATACATGCAAAGTAGATGGAACTGCAAATGTAAGTGGATCACTCAAATAAAAGAATACATGCAAAGTAGATGGACCAGTATATCAGCACAAGTGGATGGGAGCATGGCTGTGAGGATGTGCCAATGTGTGTACAAGTGAGAGAGAGATAGAGAGAGTTTGTGTGCATGTGCATGCGCTATTATGTTTGTGTTTTTGTGTGTGTGTGTGTGAGAGAGAGTGAGAGAGAGAGCTCTATTTTAGGAGACAAATATTTGGCTGCTCTATGGTTTGCTAATTTATTGCAAAAGAAGGTAAATGACTTCTAGTTCTACATGATGTGTTGGTGGACAAGGATGAAAGGGTCTTGCAGGTTTGAAATTCTTTCACTTGGATACACAACTAAATATTACCAGACAGCAGTATGCATATTGTTTTGAACCTACCTGTAAATATGACGAGACCATCAGATGACACCCTCGCCAAATCAGAAAGAGTCTTGTTCAGGTATTTTGGGACAAATAATCCACAGCATCTGACACAATAACAAGAGAAAATGAGTTTTCCCTGTATGGAAGAGAAAACTTGATATCTGCCACGCGTACTATGCCCTGTGCACAAGGCTTTTGCAGCTCCCACTGGGATCCTCCAAATCGTAGGGCTCCACACCCAGGCTTCAGTATCATCGTCTTTCAACAAATTAGAGACCACCGAACAAGTATCAAGTCCTACATGCAAAACTTTTCGCATGCTTGCACCATATGCCTTCTTTAGGATAGGTATTGCTCTCAAAAGTTCCATTGTACATGTGTTGCCTATAGATGCTGAAAACTCAAACTATCAGCCCTTGGCATACCAAGTCCTCGTAAAAATTAGATCATAGCGATGTTCAACTAACATATTCAATGCTTTCTAGAAAATTCTATAGCTACATATTAATCATGACTTAACATAAAACACTTTTGAAAAAATAAAACAAAAACAAAAACAAAAGGATGAAAAGGGAATCAATTGCAACTTTTGGGCAAAGTTTATACATCTAAAACTTAAATATCTGAAGTTATACCATCAATTCCAGCAACCGCTTCCCTGCTAGTCCCTGATAAACCTACAAACAAAAATCTCTTTCAGGGTGAGAAGGGAGAAACATTCGATATCAGATCCTATTAGAAATAAAAAAAAAGATTTAAAACATGAAACTTCTAAAAAATATGATGCGAAATTTTATTAACCTATAGTTTCTCATTTTGAAGTCATACATGAAATGATTAGTAGCCAACAGGCAACCTATATCTCAGCAAACAAAGAGTTACCTGAGCCCGAAACAAATAGCCAACAACAAGGATGACACCCTGAGAGTTTAAGAATAAAGAGAAAGTTTCAGCATATGAACACTCAAGTTGCAACATGGAACTTGGAATTTAGAGCAATAAAAGGAAGGAAATGCATCACACAGCTAGCTGCATATTTCATTCACAAACAACAAAAAAGAGTTGTAGTCTAACGTACCAGGGCACCAAGGACCACGGATAACAAAGAAGAAGGGCGTGATTTAGGACGAAAACTTGCCCCAGAAATTCCAGTGGCCGTAGAGCGCCTTGCGGGATTTGAAGGCCTTCTTGACATGACTGTTCTAGTAGTGATCCACACTGGACCAAAACAAAGACGAAAATTTAACCATCATGACAGCCAAAGCACGATAAAACATGACCCTACTAACTCTACGCACAAATTGCAGACAGTGTTAAAGTAAGGAAACAAATTAAGCCCATACAAACCCGCTATCTATGTCCAGGGCATCGTACTATAATCATGATCTTCAATTGCTTTGCTTACAATAATAATCACGAGAAATGCAGCGACGGCCTAAGTTAAGACCGTGATCTATTTTTACGTGCCATTCTTCAAAGAAATACCAGAGTCCAACAGTTGTGCCAGCATATCAGATCCAAATATAATCTTATTTCTCATGCCCCCGTTCTCCCTTCCCGTCCATATCCTTCCCCTTTGAGATTCTTTTCTTTTCTTTTCTTTTCTTAAACAACCATTTATGCTGAAAAATCAAGGCTAGTATTTGCAAAAGGACACATAAAGGTCGAGAAAGATTTTAAACCTTGCAGGTAGATGATCATATCGATCAAAATGCAATCGCAGCAATATATAATTACATAATGCTGCATGCCATGAACTCAGAGGATGAGAAAATAATTCGACATCAAAACGAAAAATGATAATAATTAAGAGAAGTTTAAGGATAAGGGGAGCGTTAACCTGAAGGAATCAATTTGAGAAGAAGAAAGTAGCGGTGGAGGCGGCGCGGGGCGATGGGGTGGGTTGCCCGTATTGTGGATCTAAAGATTTTAGTTATTTGGCGCGCCATCGATCAACCGCGTTTAAATAGCGCTGCTGCTCCTGCTACTTGGTTAGATTTTGGATACTACGGGTGGCCCTGCCAGCCCGTAACAATAATAATAGGAAAACGCGTCACTCATATTTTGTAAAATAATTTTTTTATTTTTTAATTTTAAAAATATAATTTTATATCATTTATAAATTGCATATTAATCAAATTTAATCCCTTCTTAAATTTTTGACTAGTTTTTATGTGAGATTTACTGCGCTGCCTTGCACGTGATTATTTTTGAAGCGTAAAATTATCAAATCAAATTTTACATAATTTGATCCATAATCCCTCATATTTCACAAAATAAATTATTTTATCTCTTACATTTTATAAAATGAATTTTTTCATCCATCGCATTTTATAAAATCAATTTTTTCATCTCTCAATAATCATATATATACGAATGATTTTTTTTAAACCCATATATATATATATATATATATATATAATAATATATAATATATATATATATATCTATTTGATTTCACACCTGAACATTACAAATAGTATATAATATATCTCTATTTGATTTCGATTTGATTTCGTCAGGCAAATCAAATATAGATATCTTACATGCTATTTGTACTGCTCAAGTAAAATCAAATAGATATATACATGAGTTTAAAAAAAATTATTAGTTTTTCACTCAAATTCATTTCTTTTTACTCAAAAATTGAAAACAAAAATTTAATTCTAAATATTATCGAGTGTTTATATCGAATTAAATTTAGACAAAAAATAAATAAAGAAAAAGTATGACAAAAATAAATAAGTGATTGGCACTTTCAAATTTTAAAACAATCACAAGGCAAATAATTCAACTATTAGTCTTAAAGATGATGAGTAGAAATTTCAAATTTAAATTACAATTTATTAGCATGACTATAGAATTTGAATTATGACCCATTAGTTTGATGGCTTTATTATAAACTCAATAAATGAACTATTACCAAAAGAGAAGAGGTCACAAATATTGAATAAGTTTACATTATGAGATCATATAGATATATACATGGATTTAAAACAAATAATTTTGTTTTTAATCTATGTATATATCTATTGAATAGCATATATATGACTACAATTAGCCTGTTTAGGTGAAATCAAATAGAGATATATTATATACTATTTCTACTACTCAAGTGATATCAAATAGATATATACATGGGTTTTTTTTAAAAAAAACTATTCATATGTATGGTCAATGAGGGATGAAAATTTCATTTTGTAAAATGTGAAAGATAAAACAAATTTCATTTTGAAAAATGTGAGAGAAGAAACAATTTATTTTGTGATATTTAAGAGACTATGGATCGGATTATGTAAATTTTGATTTGATAATTTTACCCTTAAAAAATGATTACATGCAAGACACATGTAGATTCCTATAAAAAACCAGTTAAAAATCTAGGTAGAGATCAAATTTGACCAATATAAATTTGTAAGGAATGTTAAATTATACTTTTAAAAGTAAATGATGAAAATGTTATTTTACAAAATATGAGAAGACGTTTTGAACTATTTTTCCATAATAATAATAATTGAACTTACGCCCTTCCAGCTCAAGTTGTTTAAAGGAATAAACCCTGTGATTCGCCCTCCTACATTTTTTTAAGCCTAATGTGAAAATATCTAACCAGGTCATTCTCTATTTGGTAAATAGAGAAAGAAAAATATTTGCTTTTCAAGACATACAACTCATGGCATATTTTTCACTTGAGATTTGATTTGAGAATTGAGAGAAAGAAAAAGAAAATTATAATTCGAGACTTTAAAAGAAACTTAAAAAAAAAAAAAAAGAAGGATAAACCTAAGAATGCCTAATTAGTCAAACAAGTCAACGTCATATTTATTCCACAATTGTTTGATAATTCAATTTAAAACTTAAATTTAACAAATTCAAATTTTAACATATCAGACATGTTTTGACGACAAAACATAAAACATCTTAATTAATTGATTAAGTGACTCTGAATTATTTAGACAAAACTTACTCCAAAAAATAAATAATAAACCGTTCATTTATAACTTAACACAAAATATGCTCAAATGTTGGATTTTAATTCAATAAATTAATGACTTTAAATTTCAGATTTCAGTTTTATTAATATTTACCATATAACAAAGTAGAGTATATACTACTTCGTCCTGGTATCTGTTAATGAATTGGCACATCATCATCTGTGAAGAGAGGAACAACACAAGCAATAATAATCTTCACAATGAGAATTTCTATGGCTGCCGCGATAGCTACTATCCAAAATTGATGTTGGATCCTGATTTGATGGCCAAAACAAAGTAGAAAGAAATCCAGCAGGCTAAGCGTCATTGATTTGGTGCCCCTCCTCCAAGTCATTCTTCTTTAGCATATATATATATATATCTTCCAGAACTGGATCACATGAATTAAGCTTTAAGCTTGCAGCTTCCCAGCTTTCTTTGACCTGGCCAAACTCATGATAGTAGCATTAATCCAATGGCAACACAGCTACGGCTGCTGGAAGACAAAATGAAGCTATCCTGCCTGGCCAACTGGCTATTGCTCAGCTGCTATAGGATCTTCTGAGCGAGGGGGCCTCCATTTGCGATCAAAGATGCTCCTTTCCACGACCTTCTCGTTCTGGATCTTTAACCTCTCATCAATGAGCTCCAGCAACTCTTGCAAGCCAACTCCCATAATGGCAGATGTTTTCACATATGCAGTGGTCCCAAATCAAATTGAGGATCTTTTCTGCTATTCCTCCAGCTCCTGTAGGTGAAACTTCGTAAATTATCCGGAGTGTCTTGTCCCACAGAACAGCCTTCGTAGTCCACCAGTGATTCTTGTTCTTCTCCTGATAACAGCCAACCATCAGAATAATCACCTTGTTGATCATCCAGGCCCTCCTCACAATTCCCTGACAATTCAGCCTTTGCATCTACATCATCAGCTTCAGAAACATCCAGTCCGGACAACTGGTCAGAAACATTTTCACCGTCTGTTGCATCTGATAAATCGCCAACTTCTTCATCCTCACCATATTCATCGCGCTGGAATTCCTCATCTTGAAGATCAATCTGAAAATGTTTTGCCAAAAAAAAAAAAAAGGCATCTCCTTCTCAGATACTCAAATTTTTTGCCTGTCGTCCACGACTTAAGGAAGGAACTGGCCATAATACCTTATTCCAAACTTCAATCATATTCTCAAGCTTCTCCTCAGATACTCCTATTTGCCGAAGAACTTGAAGTACAGTCTTCCGTTGCTCATCCAGAAATGGCGAACTCGAGTCTAGGACATGCTGCAAAAGAAATTGCCAGTTATCTTGTCTAGCAATTAAAACAATCAAAGCACTCCATCCATTTGTCGAAGGCAGGAATGGGACATCTCAAAATAATGCCCCAACTTCACAAGATTTTTATGCACTCCTTTGCTCCCTCTGGGAAGGAGAATTGATTCCCCAGGTATCAGGTGCTTTTACAGAGCATAGATCAAAGTTCAAGATCGAAGTCAACAGAAAAATCAAATAGTACTACATCATACCACAAGGAGGTCGGCCTCAACAACCTCTTCCAAGGTTGCATGAAATGCTTCCACCAACTGCAAGGTGCAAAATATGAGAAGTAAGAGCCATGCAAATAAAGCCCAATGGAAAAACACAGCTTCCTGGTTACCTGCACGGGCAAATCTGATATGAAACCAACTGTATCACTAAGAAGCACCTTCCTCCTGAAAATAAGGGAGAAATAACGATCATCTCCATGACATAAAGCTTAGCAGACAATAAAAAATCTTCCTACTTTATATCATCATAAAAGTTGACAAAAATTATTAGCGTTTCAATAACAAAATTCAGAAGTTGTTGCTTACTACAGAAAACTAAAAATTAAAATCTGAAGTGGTTTATATTACCCGGAAGGAAGAACTACACTTCTTAATTTAGGGTCAACTGTTGCAAATAATCTGCATAATTGCAAAATTCCGATGAGCCATGCAAACCAAAAGAACACAAGAAATGGATACCAGATCCATGAGACCTCCATATCATGTGAATGACGTTATCAAGATATACAAAGAAGACAATTGACTGCATAAACAATTTGCTATACCGGTCATCACAGTAAAGATAACTCTCTGAAAGCTCACCAACTAGGGTAGATTTTCCCTACAGAGAAAAGCCAAACAGCATTAGGCTAATTAAACAGTAGGGAACTGTAAAAGGAATTAGAGGTGTTCTAACCACCTACAGCATTTGTGTACCCAACTACAGCAACAGTAGCAATGACATCATCATCTGATCCTCCATGCCTCTTACGAGCAGCACGTTGCACAGCTCGTGTCCGTCGCACCTCCTTAATTTCAGACAACAATTGACTCCGCCGCTCCAGTATTCTGAAATTGAAGAGTTACAAGACATATATACTTCTATTGAAGGCATGTAACAAGTGGTGGTCGTGGTGGTGAAGAGGGGGGGGGGGGAGAGAGAGAGAACTTGACAAACACAGAAGCGTAAACTGTAATAGAAATCCAAAACACAGAAGGTAAAATGGTTCACACACAAAGCATCCTGTCAAGAGAAGTTTCATTCGAACTGATCCTGTTAACAAAATGTTTTCACTAGTGAAAAAAGGTCCCCGCTCAACATTCAACTCTTCACTTCTTTTTACACCACATTCCAGGACAAAGTCAAAAAAGACACAGAACTCTCAACTAACTTGCCATGATAAAGTTAGAAGTCAAACTAGGACTTTCTGGATACCATGCTTTTAAGTCAGTTACCCCATACCACCCTTCGTTTAATAGGAGTGTACTTCAATACAAATAAAGTAGAGAACCAACCATCCTTGACTTACATATTTCTTTTGCATATACAGACATTTAGAAGATACCTGTATAATGGCAATCTAAGAATCAGTTGAGTGCAAGGTTTAAAGTCAATGATCAAACCTCCGTCTTTGGAGTTGAAGTTCAGTTTCTCCTGCACCACTAATGAAACCACGCCCCCCACTTCCTCTCCTGCAAGTCACAAGGAAGTGCATAAGATTGGAACAAAAACCACAAAGGCTACAAAATAAGCAAAAGGCTCTATCTGACATCAATTGGTTTTAAACAATAGACGTCTATCATAAGAATGAATATTCCCATACTAGGTAATTTTTCTCTCTTGTTCTTTTTGAGGACTTTTACTAAAGATGTATCACATGGCTGAGCCGTAACTGAGGAACTTCAAACAATGTACTTACCCTCTGGCACTGACTACTTCTGCTTCACCAGCTCCGCCAAATGTATAGCGCCCACCAGGACCACGAACACGGACAAGCCTTGATCTCTTGTACATAAGAGCTGCTAACTCAGCCTGTGGGTCAATGATGGATCAAAGATGAAATATTTGAAACTTGTACGAATAATGGTAACAACAATAGTACAATGGTAGAAGGCAGAATATTCGCTCAATACTTGTAGCTTTGCTTCCTTTGTCTGTGCATGAGCATTAAAGATCTCTATGATCAGACCCACGCGATCTAAAACAGGTTTGCCCCAAATACGCTGTCATTTGAATAAAAAGACAAACAAATGGGTAAAAATGATCAAATGATATTCATACAATATATAGAGTAGATAAGTAGGTGGATTTGTCTAAACAGACCGCAGAAGGCAATTAAAATTAAAACTTACCTCCAAATTCCTCTGTTGAATGCCCGAAAGACTTGCATTCACAAATATAGCATCCACCTCGTCCTATTAAGACAGAAAAATGTTAACAACTTCTGCGTACTAAAAGAATTCAGCTGAGTAATCAAGACAAAGAAATAGCAAGCCAACCTAGTATCCCAAAAGCATACCTTCGAGTCCAAGGCATATAGATGGCATTTAACTGTGTCCACTGTTCCTTTCCTAAAATAAGTATCTGCAATAAAGCACAATCTGATAAAGCTACTTCCAACTTTTGGTTCAGCTCAACATCTTACTGTGTACTGTTGTTTTAAAAAGGATAAAAAAGATATAAAATTTAGCTAATAATCAAACACTAGTTTATCAGAAAGTTCATCACTTTACTGCTGTATTCCACAAAGGGATACTAGTAAATAAATCCGGAAAACTGACCAGCACGAGGTGATCGGTCAATCGGATTCTGCACCACAACATGAGGGGCAACTCTTTCTCCGAAAACTCGGTGTCGTAGTAACCATCTCTCTGTTCTTCCAGCGAATTCGCGAGGTTCAAAGCCTCTTCAAGCTTCCATTGCAAAACGGGTTCAGGCCGAAACCGCGGCTGAACCACGAAGAGCTTGGGAGGGCGGCTAACAAGCTCATTGTTTTCAATAGACTCTCCATCTTGATGGCGTCGCTGAAGAATCTGAGAACTTGAAAATGGAATGGAAAAGAAAGGGTTGAGAGAAAAGAATGCAACTTTGGGCTTTCGAAAAAGGAATTTGAAGGGCTGAGTAGACTGGGATGGGTGTCATAGCCTGGGATATGGTTGGTTAATGTAGTATAAACGAGGGATTTGGGGCTGAGCAATGATTGTATATGGCGAATACGAGAGATGGTTCTAAACATATTTTTGGCAGATGGCTTTGCCTGCCTCTGGTTACTGCATAGGGAGTAAGCAGCTTAGGAAGGAGAAGGTTCGGTCTTTTTTGTCTTCTTTATTTTCCTCTCTTTTTTCTTGTATTTCCTCTTCGCGATTTGGTTGACCGCCGAAACAAAGGAGCGCTCTGGCTCAACTCAACTCAAATTTTGGTTAGGCTTGAGCAGCTGTTCAAATAGTGTAGTTGAATTGAATTTGAGTTTACATGTTTTTGTAAGTTGTTCTTTTGTGCGTGAACCATAAACCATTACGGAAAATTTGTCAAATTGATCCCTAATATTTTTACAAAAAATTTTTTTAATCTCCAACATTTAAAATCAATCAGAATCGTCGCTAACATATAAATTATGATCCATTTTGATCATAATGCTCGTATTTGCTCATTTTTTTCGACTGAAAATAGCACGTCTCTCTCACGTGAGTATATTTTTAAGAGCAAAATTGAAAAACATACTTCGTTACTTATCTTTCCCCTCCTCCCCGACCCCAATCATCACCACCATCATTATCAATACCGCCCACATTCCCTTCCTTACCTTCTCCGTCCCTCCCTCGCCTTCCGTCTGTGCCACCACCGCCACTTCCTGCTGCCCCTCCTCCATCTGTAAACTTATCACCCCTTTCTCCCCCACAACCATCACCTTCCCCTCCTTTTTGCACAACACCTCATTCTCTAGCTCTTTCACCCTCTTCTTCTCGACCAATTGCAGTTCCATCATCACCTATCTCAGTTTCTCCACCACCTCCCGCAATAAAGTCACCGCTCACAACCCTCCCTCTCCTGTATTACCTCCTCTACCCATAGTTATTAAACCCAACCCGGGAGGGAACCCGGTGAACGAGGTGGGTCAACAGGTTACTGGTTCAACCAGTGGGTGGGTGGTTGAACCGGTGGGTCACTAAATATATTTAAATATTATATTTTATAATTTTAAATATAAGATATATGATATAAATTATAATAAATAATGTCATAGCAAATGCTCATATAATTTAATTTGCTATAAAAAATTAATTCATATAAGAATCAATAAAATATAAAGTTATTTAGTAATACACCAAACTTCAAGTATAAAATTTTATCTATGTTTAGTGTAATTATCTAACTTATTTATAAATTTTAAGTGCAAAAAATTATTAAAAATAATATATGTTTTTAAAATGAATTATGTAACATGTTAATTTTTAAGTCCATTTCATAAGTTTGGGGTCATAAATTATTATTAAAAGATTCCAAATTAATTTGTTTTAGAGAAATAAAACAGAAAGATAAAATTGATAAAATGTTTATATATAATATGTAAGCAACCTTATCATCATCTCGCGAGGTAGCCTAGCGGTTTCGTCGATGTTGCTTTGTATCAGACGCACAGGTTTCGACTCTCAGTCTCAGCACTGCCATAACATTTTTATATGAAACCCGGTTCTTAGACACAACCGGCCGGGTTTCCGGTTTAATCCGGTCGAACCGGCGGTCCGTTGACTAATCAACGGGTTGATTACTTAAATGATCCAATTGAAAATCCAGCCCGGTCCCATGTCTGGTTCACCAGTTTGACCGGTTCGACCGCCGGGCCGAGCCGGGTTTAATAACTATGCCTCTACCATCACCTGCTTCTTCCCAAGCTCTATCCTTGTTAAATCCCCTTCTATTTTCGGTGGTGTCTCCTCCTCCTATTACCACATCTCTTATTCTACCTTCTCCCCTCGCCTCCCGAAATAATGCATCCCAAACTGAAACTTGGGATCTTCGGTGGCATGTTTTCTATGCCAACCAAATGCCACCAATAGTGTTGCGCCAAGTGTCTTGTTATTATTTACACTTTAATTTTCTAATAATTCAACTTGGCTTAGTTTAACATAAGTTTAAATAATAACATGACACTTGGCGCAACATTATTGGTGACATTGCATTGGCATAGAAAACATGTCACCGAGAATCCCAAGTGCCAAACTGATGCTCCAACTAACTCAGCCTTACTAGCAATTGTCCCCTGAGAAACCCACTGCAAGATTAACTACACCTGCTCTAAATATTATTGCAATCACAATATCTAGTAATGGTGGGGGCATGAAGAGTGGAGTTGTCATGACAATTGGATTCGTGAGCTTTTCTGGCAATTGATCTTGTGGTGTTTAGTGTCTGGTTGGCACGAAAGCAAAAGAAAAAGGGAGCCCTATTCAACATTAGGTACACAATGCCTTCTTCATATGCTTTCTCCCAAAATTCAAGGGGAAAATTAGGGTTTTTTGTGACTGTAATGTTAGGGGGAAAGATGAAAAGGGACACTTTTGCTTTCAATCGAAAATGAAGTGTGTTTTCAGTTTTGTCCTTAAAAATATGCCCACAGTGAGAGAGGCGTGCTATTTTTAGTCGGAGAAATGAACAAATACAAGCATTATGACCAAAATGGATTATAATTTATATGTTAGGGACGATTCTGGATGATTTTAAATGTTGGAGACTAAAAAAGTTTTTTGTAAAAATATTAGGGACTAATTTGACAAATTTTCCAACAGTTAATTGACACTTCAGTAATCAAGTTTGAGTTGATTTTAAAAAGAAAAAAGGTTGTTGATTTTTAGAAGAAAAAAAAAAGAGGCTGAGTCGATCTTAAATTGGACATTTTTCCTAAAATAGTAAAAAATAAAAGATCACATCATGATTTTTTGGAAAGGTATTTAAAGGTATTATATATATGTGTGTGTGTGTGTGTGTGTGTGTGTGTAAAGGAGTTTATACATGACTGTTGGAAAGGTAATGATGTTTTTGCTTATCTATTACAATTCTATTTTTTTTACTTATAAATTTATTTTTCTTTATAAGTTTGTTGATTTGACCAATTTATTTATAATTTCATGCACTTCAACTGTTTCAATTAAACCAATTATCATATAGTTATAATACTACTATCTTTTTTATAAATTTATTTGAACAAATATTTTATCACAAAGGTTAAAACTCCCGCGTTTAGCGCAAGCTTCTCCCTAATATATATATACATATATAGGACTTTTTTATTTAATAGCGATAAATCTTTTATGTATTAATAATACCATATACTAATAGATATAAATAAAAATCTAGAATGAATATCACATATACAAAATTTTGTCGTTTCACATTTATAAAATTTGATGTTTAAATTCAATTCACAGGACATACATCAACCTTACACTGATGGTATATAGGAAAGATTAAGCATACGTTGTGTGTACAAAATATGCTAAAAGTCACTTGTGTTTCATAATTTCATCAAACCAAGTGGGAAGATGAACGTCAGATGTTACGAGGAGTAGGCTTCTTGCCTACCACCATAAGTGGGAATTGCGCCAAGAAACTAATCAAACTCAACCGCCACCTTATAAAACTCACTCGTTCCGAGCAATATGCTGGCGCCCTCCTACTATTCAGCCAAATTAATTCTTCCCCACATCTCAGACCTGACCATTACACCCTCTCCGCCGCCCTCACAGCCTGCGCCAACCTCCGGGACAGGAGCGCTGGCAACCAGCTCCATGCTAATGCCATTCGGGCCGGGCTCATTTTCTTTCCTCACGTTTCAAATACTCTTCTTTCGGTTTATGCAAAATCACAAGACTTGAGTTCAGTCAAAAGGGTTTTTAATGAAATTGAAAGCCCAGATGATTATTCATGGACAACATTGTTATCTGCGTGTGCAAAGCTCGGGGACGTTGAATATGCTTGTCAGATGTTTGATAAAATGCCACAACGAAATGTTGCTGTTTGGAATGCGATGATCACAGGGTGTGCAGAAAATGGGTCTGATGAGATTGCATTCAGATTGTTCCAGAAGATGCATTCTTTGGGTGTTGGACGTGATAATTATAGTTTGGCTAGTGTTTTGAGTCTTTGTTCTTTGGAGTTGTTGGACTTTGGATTGCAAGTGCATTCTTTGGTTATCAAGTCTGGACTTCTAGCTAAAACTTCGGTGATTAATGCTTTGCTTACAATGTATTTTGCATGCGGAAGGATTGGTGATGCTCATGGAGTTTTGAAGAAGAAAAAGGTATTGTGCATGATCAGATAACTTATAATGCAATGATAGCTGGTCTAGTCAGCATGGAAAGAAAGGAGGATGCATTTCTAATGTTTAAGAATATGCAAAGTGCTGGTCTATGGCCTACAGAGTTGAGTTTTGTTAGTATAATGAGTTCCTCTTATTGTTTAACGGATGCTATTCAAGTGCATGCACAAGCGATAAAGATGAGTTTTGAAGATTGTACTTCTGTGAGTAATGCAGCAATAACAATGTATAGTAACTGTGGGAACTTAAATGCAGCTCGTGTGGTTTTTGAGAGACTAATAGAGAAAGATAATGTGTCGTGGAACACCATGATAACAAGCTATGCTAATGAGAATTTGGGCAGAGAGGCTATCTTAGTCTATTCTCATATGCAGAGAGAAGGGGCGAAACCAGATGAGTTCACAATTGGAAGCTTACTAGTAAGCTCAGAGTCAGTAGTGAATGTTGAGATGATTCATGCTGCTGTTGTGAAAAACGCTCTACTTTTGAAAGTCGAAGTTTCCAATGCGTTGCTTTCAGCATTTTCCAGGCATGGTTACATTAACCAGGCCTACAGATTATTCTATACAATGAACACCAAAAATTTGATATCCTGGAATACTTTAATATCCGGGTATCAATTGAATGGATTTCCTGTCCAGGGTTTGGAGCAATTTTCAGTGCTTGTGTTGTCAGGATTTATTCCTAACATTTTTACTCTCAGCATTGTTCTGAACATCTGTGCCAGCATTTCAGCTCTGCGGCATGGAAAACAGGTGCACGCCTACACACTCAAAGTTCATTATTCTTTGGAGACATCTTTGAATAATGCTTTCATTACTCTTTATGCAAAGTGTGGTGATTTGTGTTCTTCTTTGAGGATCTTCCATAAAATGACTTCAAAAGACACAGTTTCATGGAATTCCATGATATCTGCATATGCACAAAATGGAGAGGTAGGGAAGGTGTCCGTTGCTCTTGAGCTGATGCAAGATTCTGACACTAAACCTGATGAGGCTACCTTTACTGCAGTTCTTTCAGCTTGTAGCCATTCAGGTTTAGTCAACGATGGCTGCCGAATTTTTAACTCCATGGTCAGTACTTATGGTATTGAACCAGATGTAGACCACTTCTCTTGCCTTATTGACATTCTAGTCGAGCAGGTTACCTTGATGAGACCGAAAGATTAATAAACAGCAAGCATGTTGACATAGATTCAAGTGTCTGGTGGACATTATTTAGTTCCTGTGCAGCTTATGGTAACTTGAGTTTAGGAAGAGTAGTTGCTGGCTTCTTGCTTCAAACTGAAAAGCATGATCCTGCAGTTTATGTGCTTCTATCAAAAATCTATGCAGATGCAGGAAAATGGACTGAGTCTGCTGATGTGCGGGAACGGATTAAGAAATTGGGAGTGATGAAGCAACCGGGTAGAAGTTGGATCAGATCATAGGACTAAAAGATCGGTCACGTTGGCATGATTGCCATGATACATTTGAAAGCAAGTATGAGACGTGCAGTAAATGCGAAGCACTTAAAACTTTGGACATCATGGCCTCGTAGCTCGGAGAAGTCCGTGCCAAATCCATGTGTTTGAAACGCAGACACTAGCTTGAAAACTCGAGAGGCAACCTTTGACTAGTTTTCGAGTTACCTCATTCTCCTATTTCTTGACTAATCATAATTAACCTGAGGAAGGTTCTGTTTTCGCTGTTTGTGTAGTGCATTCCTATAAAAGGCTACAAAGGAAATCAATGGCCAAGGCAGAACAAATTGGAATATCTTTCTATTTTTTACTATTTTAAACTCTTCCTATATTACAAGTCTCTTAGACAGGAGTTTGCATTGACATTCCTTGTTGAAGTTAAGAAAACTACCATAAAAGAAGTACATATCCTTATCAGCTAATTACTACGAACCCATTAAACTAGTTTACATATGTACCTTATTTTTAATACACGGCCTCGCATATTTTTTAGATAAGGAAATATATAATATGCTGCCTAAATTGTACCTGAGAACCAGAACAATTTAGTGTAGTGGCAAATTACCATTTTCGCTGAAGAGCACCCAAAAGCCATGAAAGTAAGAAGGTTCAATGTTGATGTTAGCGACGGTATGTGAAGTTTAGAAGTAAGATGGTTTTTCTATTAAAATATGAGCCAATGTAATATGGGAGATTCATGCTTTACAGTTTTATCAGATGCCTAAACTTCAAATTTTTAGTTTTGTTCACAGTTTTAGTCTACTCTACAGCTCCTCTCTCCTGGCAGATCAAAAATTCACATAACGTCCCTTGCTTTTTAGTAAGAGGAGACGGGTGAAAGTCGCTAAATTGCCGTCAGGCCTGATAAACTCTATAATATGCAGGATCACTTGCAGGGAAAAACATTTGCCTCGCTCCTTCAGCCTTGATGATAGGAAAAATGATACTTGATGCACCCTGGAGACAGGAAGTTTGCCAAGTCATGAAAATGACCAATGCTCAAAGACAATCCAAAATGTGTGGGGAAATTGACGTTTATAATTAAAAGGGTACTATTTAATGATTAAAAGTGCATGAAAGGATTTGTTGCTGTTGCCGAAAGGATTCCGTGGTAAGAGTCGCCCATAGCAGCGACAGTGAGAAATGAGAAAACGAGTTTATGAATAACAAGTGATTACTAAGTATGGTTTATGGTCAAGGAAACTCAAACTGTCTCGCAGAATCACTCTCTGCTGTATGCAAAAACCTTGTTTGCATATTGGCAGACTTTTAACATGTTGGCTAAAAAGAAATTGGGGAAGCTGGATTTTGGAGCTAAAAGAAGGAAATCAATGCCTTGGGATGCACCAATCATTTGTTGGAAAAGGATTTTCTTTACATACCGAAATCAATCTAGCTCCAATCCACAATTTCTTGGGGAAGGAAAAGGGGTCAATAAACGTCCCACGGCATACGCGGCAACGGCAAAGAAATGGAGAACTAAGCTCAGTGGTCGCGGATTTAAACCGGAGAGCAGAGCTATAGGTCCATCCGAACAAACGCCACCAAGGCTCAAATAATCAAAACATGCTTCGCGCATTTCCTTTCTTGCTTGATCAGAAGAAGCACAGAACACCTTGTATAGGGCCGCAGCCAGCGTATTTATCGTAGATGCCACTGGCTGCACATTAAGGACCATGAATGGTGTCAATATTATGAGAAATTTTCTTCATAGACAGCATGCAGAAGCTAGATGGTAGACATGTATATGGCAAGTAAGAATTGAATTGCATTCTTTCTTCTCTTTTATGAGAATTGCATTTTAAACGTGGAAATCAAAGAATGAAACTATTCCTTGTGTCAGACTAAATATCTACCAAAACTTCATTTTCTGAATAAACGCTTCAACATCTTCTAATTCAAACTGCAGGTTAGCTTACCTTGCGCAATGTGTAAAAGGACTGGAGATATTTACACAAGGACTCAGCGTCATTCATGTTTTGCAAGGGTTTAAGCAGATCTCGTAACACTACAATGTCAGACAGGGCTACGGTCATTCCTCCACCGGTTAAAGGATGACGCATGTTGAAAGCATCACCCAGCAGTAGTGCTCCAGGAGTAGGATGTGGAGCAGCTGGCATGCTTCTGTTTGGCATTGTTCTAATGTCTCCTTTGTCAATAGCAGATACGAAAGCATCATGTAGCTCTGCAGGAATCTAGGTCAAGCAACATATAAATCAATTGAAGTTGGTCCAAAAACACGACAACTCTCCATGTCCAGAACAAAACCAGGGAAAAGAAATGGACATTGAGATGCAGAAAGCTGAAGCATATGCCAAAAAATTAATTTAAAAAAAAAAAAAAATCGCTAAAGCATACACAAACATGCTAGAATGAAGGATCTGCCAGAATGACATGCCCGTGATTTGGAAACGGAAGTTGACAGTTCTCTAAGATCAAACCAACAAAGCAAGAGGGAATCTCCACCTACATGAAACATAATGGTTATACTGACAAACTTTCAAAGATTTACGCATTCCACTTGGGAGTGAAGAGCAAATAGCAGAGATATTAATGTAACTTTTTTTTTTTTCAAACAGTATTCTAACAAAATAAAATAAATAAATAAATAAAGATAAAGAGACAAGCTTCAGTTTAATTTGATTTGATCCAGATCTGAATGCAGCAGACAAGAAATTGTACACAAAGCCATTGCTTTTGAGGTTGTACCTTAGAGCTGCAGAGAGATCGTCGCAAATTTGAAAAGCACCCATCACACACTATTGTAAGAGGAGCATAAGCTTTCAGCTGCTTGCCGCTTTTGGTTTTGTACTCAACACCTTTTACAGTGCCATCGTCTTCAAGCAGGGATGTCACAGTGCCTTGTTCCAGTCGTACACTAGTGAAAATTGAACCAAGAAGATATTCAAGAAAAATAGATATTTAGAAAATCAGAAATGTAAATGATGGTTATACATGTGGTGCATGGTCCAAAAGATAAACTTTTTATGGATCCTTAATCTGGAAGTCTTAGTAAATTGGACATCCTTAGGCACGAACAAGTCTAAAAGGAGCCATAGATTAGATTTTTTTTTTATTTTCTTCTCTTTGCTCTTTTCATTTTATTCTGTAGCAGAAGTTATCAGAAAGCTTATAGATACTAATTGATCTTTCCAGCTTACTAAATTTTTTATTCGAGTAATCAATAAATCAGCATGTTCAAAGAGATGCGCGTTGGAAGTACTGATCAGAATTTGACAAGGGTCAGTTAAAATAGCACGCAAGTAGTGAAATCAATGCATGAAAATGAATTGTAAGTATCCAGGAAAGTAATTTGGTTCCTCATTTGTTCTGGCGTAAGATAAGAAGCAAGATAGACATTTGTGCTCTACAGAAGTGGGAAATAAAATTTACTTGGCAAGGCTAGCTGCTTTTTCTCTCATCCTCTGAATAAATCGCCCATGGTGAAAGCTTCTGCCTGCGACATCTGAATGGAAATTTTCCAAGGGATAAGAAACTCTAGTGCTTCTACCGTCCTTGAAAAGAGCATAACCAAGCACTCGCTGAGCATCAATGTTAACTACGCAATCTGTAGTGAATGGGAAACCACGTCAAGCTACTAAAAATCAGCTTCTGCCGCCCCAAAAAAAAAAAAAAAAAAAAAAGAGCCACAAAGCTGATGTTTCACCAAACAAGAAGATTAGCAAAAACGTTAAGAACATACCTTCCAGTCCCAGCTCAATTAACTTGAGATATCCACCTGGTTGTAGCAGCTCACCCACAATTCTGTCAGGCTCAGTCAAGTCTCTTTCGATTACACGGACTCTCCTTCCTTCCTGCAACAGCAATAAAAGATTACATCGTATATTATAGAACTCCACTGTGGTGAAGTGAAGGAGAAACTAAAGCCAAGCCGAACTTCAAAAAAGTCTTTTTTTCGTATATTGTTTTTACATAAGTGACAATGCTGAAAACTCCAAAACTACTTCATGCCAGATAACATCGCTGACAATAGCCAGATATTATTTTTACTGTAGGAAAGGTGAGCTCCAAGTCATCAGAGCTCTCAGTTCAGAAAACCATCCCTTTATTTATTTGTAAGGAAATAAATTAAATGCTCAATACATCATCATCAAAGAAAACCTGTTAACAATCTAAGAGTAAATAGAGAACTGATAGTCACCCATCTTAGTACATATAATTATTAAAAAAAAAACTTTCCTTTAGACTCTTCCTCTTTTCTCTCTAGTGCTAAGATTCTTGGTGCAAACCCTTCCTTCAAACAAATTCACCTATACAAAATACTCCCAGGAAGACTCTTTCTTGGCTTATCTTTTTTGGGCTTACAGAAACATTAAATTTAAAAAAAAAATCTTTTACAGAATTTAAAACGGAATAGTACTTTGAGAAAACGCTCATATGAATTTTTTTTGTTTTTTTTTTTTTTTTTTTTGTTTTTTGGGGGGGGGTGTTTGGGGAGTGTATGTGGGTGAGGTGAGCAGGGCAGGCGTTGGCGTTCGACCTTCCCAAGGGTGTACGATAAGGCTGCACCAACGACGCCCGCACCGACTATAATAACATCGGTATCAGAGTCCCAGCCGGTCCGGCATTCATCAACCGCCATCTGGTTGCTCCGAATGTCTAAGCAGGGCCGGTCTGCGTGCGGTTTCTGCTTATATTGTTTATTACTCCTAAGCTGCAAAATGCAGAGAATGAGAAAACCAAAAACAGAGGCAAAGAATGTTCCGGCAATGTACTTATCCATGAATATTGTCATGATGATCAGCATACCAATCCGAATTTGTTGGCCAAAGAACAAACGGGGTTTGAACCTTCTGGTTCTCTGTTTTGGGTTGTCGCACTAGTAGTATTGCTGTTGTCAGTACAATAAACTACTGGGAATGTTGTTGTTGTTATTTTAGTTTTGGGGTTTGTTATCTGAATATATAGAGGCCTGTTGGGTCGGGATACTGTTGGTGATGGTAAATTCCAAGAAACTGAAGTAGGAAAGGTGTGGCGTGTTGGAAGAGGACGATGGACGAAGGAGTTGGCAGCAGTTGATGAATAAATACTACTCCTAAAACAACTATTAAACCTATTAAACCGCATCATTCCGTTGATTTTGTAAGTAGATATTTGAGTGGTTCCTAAGAGGACAACAAAATTTGGACCACTGATATGAGTAACAACGCTGTTGGGGTCGGCTGAGGTTTGGCAAGTAGTACCAGCATCTGCATCTGGGGATCTGGAGCTGGATTGAGTACACAGGGGAGAGAGGACGAGGGAGGGGTGCATTTTAAGTGGAAAGGTCCAGCGACCGGCAGGTTGGCCGCTGGGTGTCTTGACGTGCTGGCCTTTTTGTTTATAATGCTACACTACTTGGTAGGGCGTTCAAGCCAGAGCTTGAACTCAGACGAAATGGAGCTCAATCAAGCCTAATCGATTTTAATCGAGTTTTCAAGTTTGATTTTTTAAAATTTATAATTTTATAATAAATAATTAAAATTATATTATAAATATATTACTCGATAAAGTTCGACGAATAATCGAGTTTTGATTTTTTCTACTTGAACCTTATCAAATAGTTCAAAGTTCAAACTCAATCAGTATCGAGTTCGAGTCGAAGCAATCGAAAGCCCAAATTTACAACCTGGTGATCGGAAATTTAGTGTTCATCCACTGGTGATCGGAAATTTGACTTAAAAATTGATTTTGTTCAGTTTTTTACTCCCGAAACCAACATCTTATTACTGTCTTTGATAATTGGATTTATGCCAAAGAATCAATAATTTGATAATAGTCGAAATATGAAATATCATTATAGTAAAGCAGAAAATTTTAATTTTCTCTAAAAAATTGTTACACCAAACTAGAACCCACGTGTTCTTTCTCTACAAAATTCAATGAAATCAGCTCCAACAAGCATGATATACAAAAATAAAAGAAAAGAAAGAAAAATAGCATAAGTTTTCAAAATCATCCATCATCATTATTATTCATAATTCCTAGAGTTATTATCACTTTATCCCCTTAACGTTTGGTACTATTATCAATTTCCCCCTTAACGTTATTTTTTTAGTCATTTTACTCCCAATACTAACGGTCAAACTTAACGGAATTTGTTAATTAAAGTGAAAAGACATGTTTAACCCTTAAAATATTATCATTTTACCCCTATAAAATATGGTCTCATTATCAATTTACCCCATAGAGTTATTTTTTAGACAATTTATCGTGCCATTAAACCAATTTAGCAAGTTAAAAAACTTTAAAAGACAATACCCTTCTCTTTGCATAATAAAAATAAAAAAAAATTAGAGTGACTCTTCTCCTTTTTAGTATCAAGAAAAAAAAGTTAAAGTATTAATTTATTTCTTCTTGGCAATCTTATTAATATTGAAAAAAAATAAAAAGATGGAGAGGGGGGGGGGAGGGGGAGAGAGAGAGAGCTCAATTCTTTTTTAAAAAATTACAAATAAGAAAGAATTAAATACTTTTATTAAATTAAAATTATTTCACTTTTTGTTTATCACCAAATTCCAATTTTAATCCCGACAATTTTAAAGTAATACGATATGTTAGATTTTTATTTATTTTATGTTTTTGAAAAATCTAATTTTTTATCTCCTTCTTTCCTATCTCTTTTTCTTTTCCTAGTATTAATAAGTATGAAAAAAATTTGAGAAAACCTTTTTATTTTTATATTTTTCGATCTCTTTAAAGTGAAAAAAAGGAAAAATAACCATTCCAACTTTTTTATTTTTAATTATATATAAAAAAGGGTAAATATATTTAAAATTTTTTGACCATACTAGTTAGATTAATGATGAGGTAAAATGCCTAGAAAATAATGTTACGAACTAAAGTAATTGTATCACTATAATCCAAACGAATAAAGTGATAATAACAATGTAGTAATGCTATAAAATAAAAGGATATTTTTGTCTAAAATTTCTTAACATGTTTAGTTGAATTATTTATGAGATAAAGTGACTAAAAAATAACGTTAGAGAACAAATTGATAATAATAATATAATTTAAAGGGATAAAGTGATAATAATCCTAATTCCTATTATAAGCTAACTAATCAGTAATCAGAGTAATCCCTAGTATGTAAAACATTAAAGTATTACTGTACTAGTTAGTAATAGTCCCTAGTCACTAAGAATTAGTAGATCTTAATATTATATAATACGTAATATGTATATTTATATCATGTATAAGTAATAATATATATTAAGGGAAGTGCCCGCGCATCACGCGGGTATTTAGTGCTTGTGGGGAAAGAGGTTTTTTTGTTGAACAAATAACAATACATTGTGAGAAGAAATAAAACTTAGTATGAAAAGATAAACAATATAATCAATCAATTCACACAGCGTTACAATAAAACTATATCAAATTGAAGGTCATTGATAATGCAGAAAAACAGAGCAATACAGAAAGTTAACTTTATTCCAGAATCCCCACCGAAAGCTCTTTCTTGTTGTTTCTCGAAACCTATAAGATTATAACCAACCCAGATCAATTGGGGTTAGGCAACGCGAAAAATGTTATCTTTCAACTAGGCAACGCGATAAGAGTCGCTAATTATAGGTACTAACAACACATCGATAAAATTAAAGAGGAACTGAAAAATTGGGGGAGTGAAATCTAACCTCACGCTGAACTATCAGGCGTAGCTGGGATTGAAAAGCATTCTGAATTGATTAGTATGAAACTAGGTAGAATTATCTCAATTCTGAAATGCGAACAGGGAGAAACTGATAATCAACCGTTTAGGCATTAATATACCAACGGTTCGACAATTGAATTGGATGTAATTAATGACGAAATAAAAGTTAATTTCAAAATTGAGTTCGGATGAAAGAGAAAACAATGAGGCAAATCGTTGTAGACAAAGACAAAAAGGAAAAACTTAATTCCTGAAATTGAAAAGGTATAAATTGACCAATGTTTGTGGCTCATAAATGCAGATTATAAATGATAGAGAAATGGGTTCCTACCATTGATAGAGAAATCGTTGGCTCATTTCCTAAATCCGGTTGCCATTCAAATATTTCAGACAAAGTAACATCTCAAACGGTTATCTGCGGGTGAAAAGGGAAATTATTGATAGTTAAGCAATATTCCGATAATTACACCAACATATAAGTATATATGGGTTGTACAAAAAGTAAAAATAGTTGCACACTAATTACACATTCCATCAATACCCAAATGGCTCATCAATGACAACTTTAAATGTATTAAAATAGGGTCATTTCAGTAAACATACCCAAATACATGCTTCCTTAACTTGTACTTAAAGTTTTTAAACTAATACACAACATTTCACATTCTCAAAAAAGCCCCCACCTATGTGGTTGAAATTCAACCTATTTTTTGACCAAAACTCAATCTTATATAGTATAAGGATATTCTGTGTGTGTATATTATAAGAATTTCGAAGTTCGGCCGATAATCAAGAATTATGAAATTTATTTTCAATATTCATTTCTGAATTATTTTACCAAACATTGTACATTGAATATTCTTCTATTTTACCAATTTTCATTTTACTAAAATTCAATCGAAATTTCGATTTAGATTGGACTGGCCGATTTTTTTTTTCTGAAGTTTAAGCACTCCTGCAGCTTGGGGAAGTAGATAGGTCTATAGTTCGACAAATACATTTGACATTTGTCGTACTGGTTGATTTTTTTTCTGAAATTTAGCCACCCTTAGTGATAAAAAAAAAAAAAGCACCCTTACAACATGGGGAAATCAATAGGCATGTAGTTCGACAAATACGTTTGACATTTATCATAATTGTCTCTATGTGTGTTTCTTTGTGATAAATTTTTTTTTTTGTGCATAATTTCAACTCCAATCACACCATGGATTAGAATATGGACCATAGTGGTTTATAAGAATTTTTATTAATACAGCTCTAACAGTGAAAGTCAAACATACGTACAAACGTCTATTATCATTAAGGTGCCAACTTGTGTTGGGTTGCGCAATTAGGAATACAGGATACATTCTGAAGGTACAAAGGCTGCATCAATACTTACACATAAGTTTTTTTTTTTCCCCTATTTCTTTTGGGTGATACAGTCCACAGCTCTCCCAAAAGAATAACGAGCCCGAATTTTTTAGGTTCTAATTTAAAGAACTTAGCTGCATTAGTCGACTGTTTCTACGGACCTATTTGACAAAGATCGTGCATTGGCTTTGAAAATGACAATCCCCATACAAAATCTAAGTAATCAGGACTGAGATCTGGTTGCCAAATTATACAGTGCTGGCAGCCACGTTTCTATACTCGAGAGTTAATAGAATGGTATGGAACATAAAATAAAAATCGGAGGAATATGGGTTGGTGGTAGCCACAAAATCACCCCATGATTTCAAGAGGTTTCTTCTTGGCAAATCAAAAAGTAAAGAGACAGAAAAGTAGTTTTTGTTGTCTTTCTTGATATTATCATGATGGCTGTCGAAGTGCTTGTAATTGCCCCATCGACAAACATGCTGAAGTCGTTTTTATTTAGGTTTCCCCGAACCGGTCAATTACCACATTCTACATGTATTTCAAGTGTCGCTTCTTCGGCATGCGAACACAATAATTTCCAGGTATACGTTAGGCAGTTAGGCAGCAGAAACTCGTGCAGTCGTAATGCTATGGTGCCGTAGAAAAGAGCGACTCCCTGTGGTACAAGAAAAAGATATGCTTCTGATGATTTATCTGAAAAATTAAGCATAAAACTAAACGAAAATGACATCTGCCTCGTTTGGATTGTGATTTTTCACGGGAAAATTTTTATGTTTTCCGTAAACATATATATTTTTTCAACGCAAGCTTTTCCCCATACTTCACTCAAGTATAATTTTGCGAAATCTTGTCGAAGAGCAATATATCTCGCTATTGATCTAATCCAAATTACAATACTACTACCCTTGAGCGCCTGTCATTTCCAACTTGTGAAGGTTTTATTTATCTTAATGCCTTTTCTTTTGGTGATGACGTAAATTATGCATGTTTGATATCCAAATGCATAAGAAATCGTTTTTCTTAGGACCACTTGGTCTAACTTCATCCACATTTAGACAAGATAAACTCAAAATTAGGGGACAAAGTTGGACCACTTAAGATGAAGTTGCTGCTCAATTTCCCGAATACAGTTTGCGAAGAGACAGCTGATTATTAAATGCAGAAGATACGGCTGATTATGAAGCACTAAGAAACACATCGCCACATTTTAAATATTTCGAAGCAGATGCGTGAATTTATCAGCAGAGATTGGCAATGTAACCCGCAACAAGCTTAAGAGGG